TCTCTCTCTCTCTCTCTCTCTCTCTCTCTCTCAACACAGAGACCCAGACGTAATAGTACTGTATCATATTATTTTCGAATCAATACTTTGAGAACCACTGCTCTAACCCCAAAAGGTCACTCTGGTAGGTGTAGAGCTTCATGCATTGTGATAAAATGCTTGAAACATAGACATGCTGCCGAGCTAGATTTGCAGTGATAAAGCAACACCAACAAGTTGTGGGTCTGACAGGAGAGATTTAGTTCAAACATGAGGGAATTGTAGATACGATACAAGCCAGAAAGTGACTCTGCTCTTTCAAGGGTCATGAGCCAGATGAGAGTTCACGTTAAGGCCAGGTTGATTAATGTTCATGGCCATACCCAGAAATGAGACAGATTTAAGATAGATCTCACCCTTACAAGCAAACTGAGGAGCTCAGATATCCAGAATAACACCTGACTCAGATATTTGGTACTGCATCAGTATCTTTCACATTGATCTATTTTTGTGTTTGAAATGAAGAGATTTGTTTGGGTGATTGTTTAAAATAAGTAGTAAATGATCAATTATCTTTACCTCTTTTAGCTTTTACAGTTTAATCTATTGTTTTAATTTATGAAAAGGTGTTTTTATTTCTCGTGATTGCAAAATATTTTGACTTGGCATAACTGACTTTGGAAGCCTGCCCTTTGCACCCGCCCTTTAAAATTAATCACAAACAATCCTCCAGTAGACTCCAGACACAGCTCCTCCCTACAACCGCAATACTAATCTTCTGTGGGGATTTACTGAGAAATGATGTGAATACAGTCAACTTTAATTCAGAGTGCCTTACCTCCCTGAACCCCTGCACACATGTTGATGAGCCCATTGGGGCTCAGCCAGTCATGTTAATAAAGAGCTTTGGAGATGTCGGGGGGGGCTAATTTTTATAAGCAGAACCAGCTGCTCCAGATTCCAGTCGTTTTTTTTTTCCCCTCATATTTTGGAATAATACTATTATCAATTTTTTTCCCTCTCTGTTTTCCTGTTCCTTTCTTATCTTTTCTCCTCAATCTGTTTATTCCCAGCGCATATTTCCGCTGAAGGCAACAAAACAGCAGTGAGTGGCAAGAAGGCCTCTCTCTCGTGCTCCTATGGATTGCCTGAAAAGGTGGGGCAGATAACATGGAGACACACCTCTGCACAAGGAGAAGCCACAGAGGTCGCCTCCTTTGCAAAGCGCAGTGACCCCATGATAGAGCCTCCGTTCCAGGGGAGAGTGTGGCTGAGCGCCTCCCTGTCCGACAGTAAGCTCACCATCCAGCCGGTCACCATCCAGGATGAAGGCTGCTACACCTGCCTGTTCAACACACTACCCGATGGGCCGAAGACCTCCACAGTTTGTCTCGCCACCTATGGTAACTTCCTTTTTCACAGCCTGTCATAATGGCTGATTATTATTGTGTGGAAAACAGAAACAGAATGAGTGAGGAAAACTTGAGCTTAACCTGGGAAGAACAGGTACTGTTTTAGCATGCAATATAGAAATAATGATATTTAGTAATTACAACAATACTTACATTCCCAAGCAGGTAACAAAGGTGTATTTTCTTGACTTCATACTGGCGGTGGAGTAAACCCCTCCACAACTCCAATGTTAAACATTCACAGTCTTTGTTGTGTCCAAACATGACTTATTAAAAGAATAGTTTGAAATTTTTGGAAATATTGTTTTTAGCTTTCTTAGAAAGTGTTAAATAACAGGATTGATAACACTAAATATGTGCCTGATACCAGTAGATGGTTAGCTTAGTTCAGTATAATGGAGTTATAACAAGTGTTACTGAATGGCTGTTCCAATTTATGAACCAAATTTCATGGTAATCCATCAAATTGACATATTTTGCTATTGTTATTACCAGCATCATCCATCTTTTACTCTCTCTTTGTCACAATAGTGTCATTTTTGGGTTAACGCCTCTGGCAGAATTTTTATTTCAAAAATAATTAATAGGTAAGCTTAGTTGTGAGACTGACCGTTGAGCGGCCCGACCAAGCAAGGAGGCAGAGCGTCCAAAAATATAACCCGGGGTGGGCATTTATTAAAACATGTGCACAAAGTTCACACAGCCTCAATCCTGCTGCTGCTGTTCACGCGAGCCCAGCCTGCAGCCACCAGGATCTCACACACACTACCACTCTACACAGACAGGGAAAACAGAGCCTAAATACCCACACACCAATCAGCACAACAAGACACAGGTGAGGGGGGAGGAGACAACACAGGGCACCAGGTGAACACAATTGGGTAATCAGTAGGAGGGAACACAGAGACAACCGGAAACAACAGACAAGATGAGGGGTGAACACTTATATAATTAATGCCATTTAATAAATAGCAGTAACGGCGTCTCGTCGTTACATTAGTTCAGATGCCAATTTGTTGCAGAGCTTTAGTTGTGATTGAATATGTCCTTCAGTAGGTATAGGAGGTGGGAAGACAATATCTTAGGGAAAGCGGAGGAGACGAACAAATGTGGGCAAGTGCAAGGAGACTCACTTTGACTTTGTGTACCGTGAAGGTTGCGTGAAGACGGTTACCCCTGGGATTTAGACAGGAATGTTGTTTTCTTCTCTATTGTAGCTGTGTAATGTTTTAGTGAAAAAGTAAAGCTAAGCTGTCGGCACATATTTAACACACAAACACAGAACAGTGTGTCGATGTGAAGAAAGGACTATTCGAAAGAATGATGGAGGCAGGGAGTGAGGTCCTGATGCATGACTGTGTCAGTGTTTGTGGCACACAGTGGTTCCCTGTGTGCTTTGTCTCTCGTTTCTCATTTTCTCCCCCTCGCGTTCTCTCAGTTATCTCAACAAACAGATGTGCTTTTGTTTGAAATTGAACTGTACCTTGAACTGTACAGTACAGTAGGTGTTTTTAGTAGAGAATTGAGAAGCGTGATTAGCATTTATGTTTTTTTTTCTTGCTACCAACAGTCTTCCACCCTTATACCAGCCCAGATGATGAGATGCCTCCTCCTGATTGAAACTCCCACCCTCCCACACACTGTCCACAAAGAGTGATAGCTAAAAGACACAAATGCACATTATCATTCAGGGAATCATTCAAATCAAATATGTATCTTTAAAATGTTATTTTTGTTAGTAGCAAAACATCACTTCCTTTAAAAAAAACGTAGTACAAGGTTTAACCTTTTCAAAAAACATAAATCACAGGAGCAATACACATTCTAGTAACTCTAAATTGCATAATGCTATTCCTCTGCAGACGTGAAAGTTGTCACGCCATAAATAAGTGGGTTACATTTGACATGGGATGACGTGATAACATTACATATCAGTGGTGGCTGAAGTTTAGAGAAACATTCAAGTGGCAAAATCTATAATTATAAAAAATAACGATTCAAATGTCAATGTGACAATGTAAAAAACTATTATCTGAATCTGAAGCCATCCTTGCATTCGGATCGCAATATGGTGAGAAACACTGTAAGAAAAAACTGTTGAATTTAATGTTTGGGCTAAACTCCATCTCATGCCTGCGTTGTGCTCCAGTAGTTCACAGGTTATTATGGTTTGGATTGTTTTAAGGATTTTACTGGTGTGGTTTAACCCACCCTGAAATCTAATACAATCCAGATGCATTGTGGGTGAAGTTCAGCAGCTAGAACTCAGAGAAGACGCTGAAACTATGAGGGCTAAATATCTGTGGCTGAACATGGTTATGCCAACAGAAATATTCTCTTTTCCAGTGAATCACATTCCTTGCTCAGCCCCGAGAGCAGGGAATTGAAAACAGCCAGCGATTGATTTATGTATAACAAGATTGCAGGAATTCAGACACTCACCTGATCCAAAGATTTTTATACGTAGATCTCAGCAAATGAAAGATATAATCTGAGTCCTGGCCTGTTTCTGGATGAAAAGAACACGTTAAATATTCCAGTCCTCCAGTGTGCTGTATTTCACACACAGCACAAAAGATACAGTACATTTATGTTCAATTTAATAATCCATTCCTTGCTAAATTAATGTATATATATAATATCCTGTTTCATATTTTGTTACTGTAAATTTGTATTTCCCCATGTATATCTTTTGCTTTTTGAATGCTATTTTATTTCTATTTGAGAAATATTTTGGATTGTTTATTTCTAGTCTTTTAATTTCTCTTATGAACATTGTCTTTTTTTTATGCTGCTGCAACGCAAACATTTCAGAATTGAGATCAATAAAGTACTTCTTATCTTATCTTATCTTAAGATGAAGGAAGGAGCAATAAAACATGAACTCCCTGTGCATTTCAGTGAACTCATTATGTGCTCTATACATCTTGCACTGTATGAGCTTGTTTGTAAATGTGTGTTTTTTCTTTCTTTTTCTCTCAGTGCTGCCCAAACCTCAGGTGAGCTACAAGACCACGTCTCCAGGTGTGATCGCAGCCAACTGCACCTCAGTGTCGCGGCCCCCGGCAGAGATAGTGTGGAACGTGGAGAGGGATAACCGCACCATGGGCCCCCCGTTGACAACACAGATCCCACAGAGCGACGGGACCACTCTGGTCATCAGTACGCTGACCGTCCAATCAGGGCTGCTGAAAGACGTGTCCATCAAATGCTTGGTGCACCACAAAGGCCTTGAGTCACCGATTGCTGTATCCATGAACACTAAAAGTGAGTTTGTGTGTTAGACTCCGCTTCAATGAGAACCTCTAATTGTTTGATAGCATTGTGTCTTGTACTAGATAGCATCACCTCAGATCTTTTTCCTAGTAGCAAATGATAAAGCCGAGACTCTAAAGGGAAACTACAACAAACATCTTTATTAGTTTTAATGCAGCTAATGATTAGGCAAAAGTGAAATGTGCTCATAAGTGTCATGTGTAAGTCGCTTTGCTTCAGTTAGCTGATAACCCTAAATTGACTTTGGTCAGGAGTTCACACATAAGAGGAATTAGTTGCAAACAGTTTGAATCTCAAATCTAATCAGTGATGGGCCATAAAAGGGAGGGATTGTCCAGTCTAGCCTTATAGTACACAAACACACTGTAAGACGTATAATGACTTTAGATCTGGCTTCATATTGAAGTATATTAGAGATTATAGATTATATAGATATGGAAGATAACAAACCTGCTGATCAGTTCTTTGTTTTTCTCCCTCGTAGTTGGTACGGCTCTCACTATCCTGATCTCCGTCACTACGGTGGCTGCCCTGTTGGTCATGTCCCTCTGCTTCTGCCTTTGGAAGTGTTTCTTACGCAAAGAAGGTAAGATCATGTTTGGTAATATCAGGGTTTATATTATATCAAGAATGAATTGGAAACAAAATATATTGCCAAGAGTCATACTCCTATACACCTGATGCTTAAACACCAGTTCATTTATACAGTATATGTGCAGAAGACAGTGGGGAGAAACTCTCCTGGATTGTTTGGTATAATTCGTACAGATCTTATCACACAACCATCATTCTTTCCTCGGGTCATTTAAAGTCCATAATATATATATATGTTGAGCTTCCTCCCTATTGTGGGTTTTGGCAAACTGTCCAGGTGTCTACAGAAACAATGAAAAGGAACATCGGCCCTTTGGAATGTGCCACTGCAACACCGACTGGCTCGCCTTTGTTTCACATCTATCTTTCTGAACAAGTGAAGCATGTTTCCGAGATGTGCTTTAGACAAATCCCTATCTTGAAATTGAGACTTTCACGATTTTTAACAAAGTCAAAGGACATTTACTTCCTCTCTCATGAACCAGTTCTGTTGAGCCGTGATCATCAAGGGCTCATGAGAGATAGCGTTTATTAAAACCTGCTAGAGAATATTCCTATTGTATAAACAATACCAGATTTTATTTTTTAAACTAGCATTCTCATCTAAATATATTAAGCAAGCTACATGACACACTGTTGAGAGAGTAGTTTTGGTAAAACTCAATTGGATATTGAATAATGTTTTCTTCTGTAACAGATCCATGGTTTCACTCTGGATCTCACATCTGCTCATTTCTTAAAGGAGACGTCTGGAAACAGGCAGTTATATTAGCACAAAATTAAACGTTATTGCTGCACTAATCAGATACATTTGTAATGATATCTGGAACAGTTCTGCTCAGCTCTACCGCGCCTTTTGGTCTCTTTGTTTTCTTTTCTCTGAGGTCGTTCATGCCAACAGGAGCTAACAGCTCTTTTCACTCACATGATTGCCTGCTTATGGTAGGGCTGCTCGATTATGGCAAAAATCATAATCTCGATTGTTTGGGTCAATAATTGTAATTGCGATTATTCATTGACTTTGAAAACATCCATTTATTGGAGAAAAAAAATATGAACAGTATGTTTTTAACAGTTGATTACCCTCAACTTTAAGTATAATTAAACTGAAAAACCCCAAAAAAAAAAAGAAAGAAAAAAAAGTAATAATAATAATAAAAAAATAATCGTTTTATTTCGATTACCGGTACGTTGTTTTCGTAATCGTTGCAAGCCATAATCGTAATCGCGATTTAAAATAGGATTAATTGAGCAGCCCTAGCTTATGGCATCTTTTTTTTGCTACCTGCACTCCATCTGCACTTTATTTGCCTGTCTAATTAATGTTTTCTGTCTGTGCATGAAGGGAATAAACCACGTGTCTGCACAGTCCAATATGAATTATGTAGATAGAGGAAATACTTGCACACTGGCCAAAGCATAGCTCAAATTAATGCCTTGATAGACAGGATCTGAAAAAGTGAGAGTACTGTTTTGAAAAAGTCAAAATATATGTTAAAAAAAGGTCATTTTATACTTTAGTGGCAAAAAATACAAATTATACTATGATCCAGACCTCATCACTCCAGATCAAGCTTTGTACAAGATCAGCTGATGTAAAAATCAGTGTATACTGTTTTGTGTAATGATCCTTTAGGTCACTATGTTGCCACACCAGTATTAATATAGCTCAGTGCGGCTGTAATGTGTTTCTTTACAAGTTAATTGAATTATGTCAGGTTTGAAGGGGGATCTGCTTTTATGATCTACACACCAAGTCAGAGTTTAAAGGTCCCCTATTATGCAAAATACCCTTTTTCATGTCTTTTATACATCAACATGTGTCCCCTCTCAGTGTAAAGAGATTCTGAAAGTGTCAGGAAAAAAGATTTGCTCACTTTTTGTCCTGATCCATTTATATAAAAACCTGTCTGAAAATGAGCTGATCAGATTTTGGTCCAATTTGTGATGTCATAACGATTTTTTTGGCTTGTGTAGCCATTAGCCAATCACCAACCAAGGTAACCCCCCCTCATCACCTGAATCTCCTCATAGAGCACCATTGTGTTATTTTCAACCAAATATCTCTCAGAGGGGGGTGGCTCCTTATTTTCATCTAAAGTAACAGACAGAGAATCAGCACTTTTGAAACAGGGCTGAAACAGAGGGGTTTATGGGATGCTGCAATGCATGATCTGTTTGGTATTTCGAGCCAAACACTTCAGAGACATGTTTTGTATATATCTGAAACCTGTAATATATTGATGAAAAACAGTTTAATAGGGGACCTTTATATATAGGAAATATAGGAAAAGATTGACATTCTTTACATAATTTTTACATTTTGTGTCTCTCTGTACTTCTGTTTTCAGCCGATTAATCTACAAGATGAGACCAGTGGCTGAAAAGAAAAGGCAGTGTTTTTCAGAGCCGACCTTGCATCATCATCATCATCATCATCATTATCTAGGTACGAAGGAAAGATGTCCTGACACACCTTTATAGGATGTCATACAATCCTATTCATGAATGCCAACTGTACAACGACATTCATCTCTGCTCTTCTGCATCTGACTCTTATATAATCTCCAGGCTCTCCTCACATGAAGTCAATGAGGAAATGCTGAGCAGATAATGTTTTATCTCTGGCTCTTTAATTGATTGAGTCCATGACCACACTCTCGATATTGCACAGCATACAAAACCTTGCATATCCCTAAAATACTTTCCTCAGTTTGTCCCTTTCTTTTACGTAGTTCTGAAAAGATATGGTTGGTATTGTTCTATTTTTTCATTTTTAAGACTTAAACCAACAATGATCAACTACTAAAAGTCTGAAATATCATACCCCTGCATTGTTGCCTAAAAACGATTAAAACAAAATACTGAGCAACATGTTGTACCAGTGACCAGAACACTGACATTTTTTGTGTTGTGTGCTTATTTCCGGCTGGATACTCACTATTTATAAGTAACATTTACTTAAAACTACAGTGACCAGCTATTCATTTTAAAATGTATTCATACCTTATTCTTCAAGGATAACATCTTAGTTAGTTCCCAACCAAACCAGTATTGTAGAGGTTGACTTAATGTGTTACATTGGATACTAGGAAAAATACAGAATATTACCAGCCTTATCCTTTACAGTTAATAACATAGCTTATCGAAATTATGAGCTAATCATTAAGGTTTTACTTCCTGTACCTCAGCCGAAGACCTCCTTTGTATATCCTCTGTGTATTGTTAAATCTGGGCGGGGTCTTCATTTGTTCAGCTAGGCCTGCATACCTACTGCATGCCTATTGCAAACTTTTCGACATGTTTCAAAGTGTGTGTGTGGGTTGGAGAGAGAGAGAGATTATGTGTGTGTGCTTGCGTGTGTGTGTGCGTATTTGTTTGAGGTTCAATTCCACGGTCATATATCTTGAATCAATTCCCCTGGGGAGTAACACTGAAACCTTGTTGGTGCCCCTGACAGGAATGCATGTCTACATCTTAGATTCAGGACAGTTTGTGTCTGTGAAGATGTGATGATGAGTTTACAGGTTGGGTAGCGGCTTAGCTTCGAGGGCTTAATGCCTCAAACATGATGTTATGACGCTTTTCGGATATATCATGTTTGTATGTGTACAGGGATATGAAGAAATGTAAGCTTTGGACCCCTCGGTAGCTCATCTGGTTTTGCGTGTGACTCAAATACCACAGTCTTACATTTGCTACTATCCCCCCCCCCTCTACCTTTCTCTCTATGGTTGCTCTGTCAGTTAAAGGCAGACTCAAATATAACCTATAGTTAAAAGATGAAAGTATCTTGTATATCAAAGAAAATGAAGGTATGAACAGAATGACATGCAGGATGTTTGAGATTTCAAACATATTGCATATATCGGGCATACCACATTCCTCCCCCTGAATTCAAGTTTAGACAGCCTTCTTTATATGCATAGTTCAGAGTTTACATTAACATAATTCTGAAATGTGGTTTAAGAAAATTTATTAAAAAGCAAATCAATGCAGCATGGTATCTATCTGGAGCTACAGTCACGAATAGAAGAAGAAATGAATATGAAGCGATGCGTTATGACCAGTTTATATAATAAATGCAACAAATAGAATAATAAATACATATGAAAATGTTTATGTTTCTGAGTCTTTATCAATTTAAAACCTTGCCATGCTTTCAGCTTTTTCAGCTTAGTTTTGTACCTCTCGGAAAAACATGAAATTCCTTTCCATTGTGCCAAACCTTGCTGCCAGATGCTCATTTTTGGAGGCTTTTTTCATCTCAAGCCAGACGGATTATGGTGGACCTCACAAAGCCAAAAAAAACACACATGTTGTACACACACAGTCACTCCCAGAGCCTGCGGCACATGCCTGTTACGTTTTGTTATATTCATAAGCTCAAGGATAACATACAGTATTTATTAGTTCTGCTAGATATGTTGAGTGTGTATGTAACCTTAAACACTGCCTGCTCACTTCTGTTACTCTGTACCAAAGTTGAACCTGTATTCATAAACTATGACGTTAAACTGCCAGTGCTACATCAGAGCATTTAACCTTAAACAGCATCAATGAGTAAAGTGTGAAATAAGTTTTACATAGTTATCAAATTAGTTATGATAGTTCAGATTTTAGATTCATGTCATGTCCCAGAAACACAAGCTATCATTTTAAGGGTTATTTTGGAGTAGGATCATAATCATTGAGCACCCCTCTTCACCTTGTGTTTATAGTCACAGTGCAGCACAGACCACACACACACACACCACAGTGACCTCAGACTCCTTCTAATCAGGCCTATCTCAAACGCTGCGTTCGCACAAGCCTCCACACTCTCCATCTCTCTGTGGCCTGAACCAGGGCTTTGTCCACCAGAGAATAAACTACTGATGTGCATGCATGTGTGTGTGTGAGCAAGAGAGAGAGAGAGAGAGAGCGAGAGAGATAACTTGTGTATGGGCTGTAACCACACACAGTTGTTGAGATGATACATTTGTATTAAGACTTTTTACATGATTGTCAGGACGACACTTCCCCTTCCTCTCCGATGTGTGCTGTGAATAACTGTAAGTGATTTGTACAATCTGGGTCACATCATTCAGAAGCATTTCATGACATTTTCCCCATGCTGTTCCTTGGTGAAAGGACCCTTTTGTGAGCATCTGTAAATGGATTACAGCACAAGGAACACTGTGCTCCACTTGACATCCTCTAAAGAAAACGGCGTTATCCGATTGTCAATATGACACGATGTGTGTTATCAGCATGATGGGCAGTGATGAGTGATTTGTGGTCTTGAGCCGCGCCATCCCTGCTTTTCTGGTTCTGCTCTTAATTTTGTCATCTTTTAAAACTTTTATTTTTCCCACCAGGGTTAGGGTTATCCTATAAGTCAATAGGTTATTTTAAATGTATTGATCAGTTTGTAATCAAATCAGGTATTCACAATGTAAGTGTATGACTTTGCTTAACAGTCATCTCTAAATGTGAGCAAGATTTCACCACCAACAATGATAAATCATGGAAGAAACAACTGAATATTTCACAATTAATTCATGACAAGCCAGGCTTGTGATAATCAAATTGGAAACACTTAAAAGAGAGTCAAGCCATGCTTTCAAACCTTCATGCGCTGTTTCTTTAGTTATGCTAGAAGCAGCCAAATACCTTCAGAATCCATTTTGAAATGGCGTACAACTTTATTTGGCCTATGGCATATACATATGTCTTTCATTTATCATTTAGAAATGTGCTGATGGTTGTATTAAGAACAGGCTATTTGACCGAAAATATTGTTTTTAATTAAAATCCTTTCAATTAGGGAATCTGAGAGGAAAATCACTTTTCGTCAAAATTCTCACACTAAGGCCATGGCTCTCTGAAAGATATAAAGATATATAAAGATTAGTTTCTAAGGTAAAAGCTAAAACACGTTGGGGACCAAAAACTCATGGTCTATTTTGGCATATGGTAAATTGGTTTTACCATTTTACCTCCGTCATGCATGTTACTCAACTTGCTGGATGTGTGACCACCATTATGATAAGACCACTGCTAAAACTTTCAGTATCTGAGTATCTAAACCATGTGTGGTTAGGCAAAGGTGAGACACCTGCCACAAAAAATGATGTGAAGATATCTTTCTTTCCCCTCTGTGACTTCGAGTTCATTTAACCCAAGCCACACTGCTGAGGTCAATGGGCCGGATAGTGTTTCCGTCGGAGGCAGACAACAAGTCAGAAAGCTGTGTGTGGGAACGCAAAATGTGTGAGAATTTGCTCAAGATGTTACCTCTCAGTCTCCAAGGTAGACATTGAAAAAGTTATAATCATCTAGCCAAACATTTATACATAGTCACCTCAATAATTCAAAAGTAGATAAAAACGACTCCACATTCATGACTTTTCAAAATCAAAGGGTTTCACAGTCACAGATCACCTAATGATTGTTTTGTCATTTGTTTTTAAGATGTAGAAACATCCCAAACTTCGGTCTTCATTCCAAATCAGACAAACATAATGCACAGTAATGCTCCTGCTCATAACACATATTTGCCACTGGCTTCTTTTATACAAACTACCAAAGCGTTGGCCAACAAAGGGTCAATGAGTAGAAAAAGCCCTCTAAGTCACGGAAATACAATGACTTTAGGGGAAAACATCTGAAGAAAAATTACAAGAAAGCAGCCTTGCCTGGAACAAACCTGAGGGTGTAAAAAAAAAAAGCGCAATGCTGCCTGTGGTTTCACGCTGTTCATTTAACGTGAGTGTGCTCTGAGTGTGAGTGAGTTTGCTGTGCATCTGCGGGACCACAAGCCTTCTCTGTTAACCTCTTCTGAAATGAGGTTGATTGCTGTTCCATGACACCAACGCATAACTGTAAAATGTTCCATCCATGTTTCCCTCTGCATGCCATGCTATGACAAATCCAAAATGTTCAGGAAACATTGATGGCAGCATACTCTGCCTTCTTTTTCGTCACAGCATCCTGTTCTCCGGCAGCTATCTGACACCTGTATTTGATGGCTGCATACATTGAGGGGTCTGACACTTGACCTTCAGCCGCTGTGTTTGCCGCAGCAGGCTGCTCCCCATTGGTCCTCAGGGGAGGGTGTGATGGGTGGGGGTGTGATGGTGGTCTTTCCGCAGGAGAGTAGTTGATGTCATGTAAGGAAAAAATGGAAGGAGCACTCGCACTGGGGAGGTTGGGTATCATCTGACTGGACCTTTCCTATGACACCAAAACACCAGATTTAAGTTTAGATAAGCCCGGAGAATGCTCTTGCTTGACACCATTTTGACTCTTGACCATCAGGGTTGAAGGATTTGTTTGACATTTTGGTTAAAGTAAGATGTCCAATAACAACGTCACAGACGAGAGTGCTATCAAACTTCTTATATAACTTTCAGCAAGAATGGATGTAAATGTATTTCCAGAAACAATTAATTACATTACAATTAGCTGACACTTTTATCCAAAACGACTAACAATAAGTGCCATGAGGGTACAAATTCAGAGCAACAGAAATCCTGTAAGAACAAAGTCTCAAATAAGCTGCACCTTTTAAAGTGCAGGAGGTCATTTCATTTACATGACATTACCTGTAATGTCTTTCCCTTTGTGTGGTGGAAGGTCATTATTCCTGTAGAGAAGACATAAAACAAATGCTCAATGGTTATTTAGAAAGATCTAGAAAATGTGTTTTACTGTAATTCAAACTGGGAATGTTATTACGTTTCCAGCCATAAGAATCCAGCATGGTTAACACTATCAGTGTGAAAACCAGAAGAGCTATGCCAACACAGATGTAGAAGTAGGGCAGCCATGACACATCCTCACCGGCATCGGCAACAGCAGCAGCAGCAGCAGCAGCAGAGCCTGGAAGCTCATCTACAGAAGAATAAACAGATCAGTAGTTTTAGTCTTTTTCCATTCAAAAGTATTTGTAGAACTTAACAAATAACACAAAGTTCTTACCTGCACTATAGTCAAAGTCATGTATGTCCGTGTTTGAATCTGTATATGAATATAGATTATATTACATTTATTATTGATTATTATACATCTATTTTGGCACTAATTGAGCAAAACTGCCTACCTGACACTGAGACGTTGATGCTGTGACTGATCTGCTCAGACTTGTATCCTTTTAAAGAACATCTGTACAGGCCGTCGTCCTGAGAGGTAATCCGTGTAAAGGTCAGATATGAGATGAGTCCATCCTTAGTGTCAGTCTGTGTTATTTCTATATTCTCTTTGTCCATCTGGTCACATTCGATTGCCTTGTCCAGCAGTTTACACCAGGTGACCCTGATTGGTTCGCCACAGTATTTGACGGGACACTTGACCGTCACATTGTGTTGTGGGACAGTTTTATATGTCGCGCCGCTTTGGACCGTCATTACACATGAAGAGATGTCTAAAGAAATATACAAAATATATCAGATATCATCCAAAACTCATTTTTAGTCTTGTATTTGAGTTTTACTTTAGATAAAACAATAACAATTATTTTAATTGTAAAAATTCATCACTGCTTCCACATTTTTCTTCTATTTTGGTCCTACCATATATTTGAAGTACTTTTAAAACAAAAAGTCTGTGCCCTCCTCCTTTCTAACTTTTATTAATCCTCACTTCCTAAAAACTAGCAGGTGCTTTAGGGGACAGCTTATGGGGATCCTATAATAAACTAAACACAATTTACACAATGCTGTAATCTAAAGAGTAACTTTTCTCTAGTTTAATTTAGATCTGTAAAACTAACTTGTAACTACATATGTCAAATAAGTAAAGTACATGAAATATAAAGTTGCATCAAATGTAAAGGACACTATTTTCAAAATTGTACTTAGTGAAGTACCTATGTAAGTTGATTAATATTATATATCTATACTCTTCCAACTATTGAATGTCAGATCACAAGAAAAAGAGTGTTAAAGCTTACCTTCACCTTTTCCAGAGATGCAGACAAAGGTAGAACAGCAACATATCAGCAGATGGATGTATAGTCTATCCATTCTACCTGATGTGTTCATGACCATGACTTCTCACAGTTTATCTTACATTGCTGCTACCACAGCTTGGGCTTATTTCACTTGCGATAAGCTCCCCACTTCCTTTCCACCCAC